GTGCATTCATTAACGGTCCGCTTTTCGGGATTGGACCTTAGTCTCATGCACCCAATGAGACAAGCGGAACGTGGACGGGACAGCACCTTATTGGCTGGGACTGCCGAGCCTGGGCGGGCGGTAGCTGTCTAAAGTTGTGCGAAGACTGCGCCCACCGTCGAGAGGAAGCCCTAGGTTCCCCGCTCCTAAGTCCATTTAGCGGAGGTTTTGACTACCCCTCGCCGTGTTTATCTGCTGGAGTGACCTCTCTAGGGCGGGTGTGGATAGAAGACGGAAGCCAGGTACCCCATCAGCTGACCTTGTGAGACTGAACTTCGTCTGGCCTCTACCCGTTGACGTTTCTGGTCTTGTTGGATCTGCGGTTGTGAGAAGCCATCCTGCATTCCTCGCAGGGTCATGGAGGCATACAGGCCATCACACTACGCCAAATTGCAGACTCAGCCTGATGGCGAAGGATAAGAACATAAAGCCCAGTCTCCTGATACGCCAGACTGAGGATAGGAGTTATAGTATTTTACAGGAGTTTTGCGACCACATGAGTGCACAAAAGCTATTCCTGGTCTTTTGCTTTCGACTCGATTTATATTTGTGTTTGTAATGATATGCATCAACTGTAAACCACCATCTTATTATTAGATTGTAATTCGTGCGCTCGACACATTGATCATAATTCCCTAGCCAATATCCACACCCCGCACACATGTGCACATGCTTACATCATTACGTGCCATGATGAGTCAGCTAAACTGAATCGATCTGCTTCCAAACGCGACACGACAGAGTAAAACCGAAGTAAAATCGCTGCTTGATTCAATCTTCTTCATCCTAGAGATTTTTCCTTGTGCTTACTTTTGAGCGATTGTTCTTGAGATCGGTGAACCAGCTGATATATCAACAACACAGTCTGTGAACTTGGTGTAGCAGCTGAACACTGCGACTCCTCGATGCGATCACAAAAGATTTGAGAGTTTATGGCTTCAGCGTGCGTGGGAAGTCGATCGAGTTGTTCGCATACCATGACGCCTTTCAACATAATATATCGAAGTGAGGATCACTACTGCAGGAGCACTTATGGTGTCTCAATAGAAAGCACCGGGTAGTAGTTAGAGAAGGTTGAAGTTATGTTATGGCATCTGCAGGTAATAACAATAACAATAATAATAAATCCACGAACAACGCTATCAGCACCACAAGGGACTACATCTTTCTCTAGCCTCGTTGCGTCAACCTTCTCAATGTTAGTGCAGTGTGGCGGGGACTTTGAAATTCGGCCGCGCGGGGAGTTACATTGTCGGACTCGGAACTACATAATCTTTCTTCACTGGAGTTTATCTGGGATACACGTCCTTTGTTGCTATAAAAACGTTGTGCGATTATGTTAATCCTAAATTCTGTGAAATACTCTGTTACGTTCATGAGGCAACTTCAAGTTCCCGGCCACTGGATTTTGCCTTCTGTTGGCAAACCGGATAGCAACAGAGAGAGGAGAATTTATGGAAATCTCAAACACGATCTCCCAGAGAACATCGAGCTGGATGGCAGTTCGAACTACGCAAACGCTCAGTCTCAGACATCTGCATTCCAGCAATCATCAATGGAAATGTGGGATCCCTGCTTTGTAATAGGGCGGAAGTAATAGATGTGATATGAGAAGTGAATATTCAAAGGTTGGAGTAATAATGTTTCAGGAGAGCTGGCACGAAAATGAAGTCGATGATAATGTTGTCAAAGTCGACAATTTTTCCATCTGCCGAGTTGACCGACCCGTTGCGGTTCACAAACGAGGCGGGGGTGTTATCATATACATAAATGACGATTGGTGTAAATCAGCCCAAGGAGTTTTCGTGTATTCGACTATTATTATCAGTACTTCTCTGTACAAGTGTAGACCTAAACACCTCAGTAACAACTAGAATATTATCTATTTCTCCTTCTTGTTCCACTGATCATTTTACTGAGTTCACAGATATTTTCTTCACCGCTTTCCTAAACTGCATAAACTCTTCCCTTTGCATCATGTATGGTGACTTCAATAGGTTTGATGTCACGTTTTTGACTACCCTTGGACTACAGAACGTTATTAACTTTCCGACCAGACTCGAGGCTTGTGTTGAACTGTTTCGTTATCAACCTGAATTTATTTAACTTGTGCAGTCGTTCCCCTATTGGCACCTCTGATCATGCGACACTGAAACTATCTCCCATGATCCACAGTAGATCCAATCATCAGTTCTACACTCGGCATCATGATCGTCATCTTCGTCGGTGTCAGTGTCAGCCCGAAAACTTTGTCAGACTAAGAGATCTATAAGATCACAGATTTCTCTCTATTTTCGCATAATGATCCCTCTATATTTTGTGATAACCTGACTGAATATCTGAAGTTCCGTTATGACCCGTGGGAAACGTTATATGTACGGAGACCATTTTTCGTCCCTCACACTTAAACGATTACGCCGGAAGAAAGAACAATCATAAAAAGCCAAAAAGCACTCTTTCGTGAGAGACCACTGGAAAGCAAGCAAGGTGGAACTGCGGAGACTGAACGCCGTTTATGTGCATGCATTGTTGGCCAACAGGAATTGTCGCGATACATGGAAAATGTTCTTTCAGCTCTGTGGTCTCAAAACGAATGAGCATCTACCANGCTGCAATGTGGAAGAACTGAATCGCCAATTCTGTAATGCTGAAACCGACACCCCCGTTCCATGCACGGCAGTCGTCCCCCTCTTAATGCTTTTAATTCAGTTATGAACCAGACAGAAGTACTCTAAACTTCCATCAGTCTGCGATCTAATAAAGCATACGGTCTTGATGAACTGCCACCTGTGGTGCTCAAAGCATGTGCAGTTTCCTTCTCCACTGTTTTCATCGACCTTTTCGACCTATGCTTTACTCCGCATTGCATTCCGGACTGCTGGAGAGTGGCTTCTATCACGCCAGCACCCAAAAAGTGAACGTCTAAATTTCGCCCGATTGCTTGCACGTCCTTTGGTTTGAAAGCCTTGGAAAAGATTTTACTACAGAAGGTGTTGTCCCATCTGGATACCCCTGCTCCCATTCAATTTGCCTATCGCAGTTCCAGACCGAACATAGATGCGTCGGTATTCCTCATTCATTATGTTTCTTCTTCCTTGGACAGAAAATGTAAAGCTGTGTGGCTGTTTCTTTGATTATACTGACGCCTTCAATTGAGTTGATAGGCCCAAACTTATTAACGCTTTCTCCGAGAAGGATATTCAGCTGCAGCTTACCAATCTGTTACGTAATTACTTCAGCCATACATTACAGTTTACCAAATAAAAGCGTCAACATTCTTCACTTTTACCCTTTACTCACGGGGTTCTTCAAGGTGTTATTCTCTCTCTTTCTGTTCACGACCTATATTTCTTCCATGTCTGCTTTTGGTGATTGTTTGCTCATTAAGTATGCCGGTGACGTTGTGTATGGCATGAAGTTTTGAATTCCTCCATGTACCCCAAAATTATGCAGAAAATTTTACTGCTTACCGACTGGTCTTCACAATATAAAATTGGAATAAATCCTTCCAAGTGTAATGGTGTCTTATTTTCTTTGCTGAAGGGCGTTCAATACATTGATGTGATGAACTCTTGACATCATTTCATTATCAATGGAGAACAAGTTTCCAGAGCATGCTCCGTCAAATACCTCAGGGTCGACATTTTCCGTAATCTTTCTTAGTCACCTGTTGTCGTGGAGACATTTCATAAAGTCAGGAAACTCACATTTTACATTATTCGTTTGAAAATTCTATCTACCCCAACTTGATAAAACGTTTTATTTCCTCTTATATCCTTCCCCACTGGCTTGATGCATCCCGTTAATTTTCCGGGTCTTTTAATCAAAGACTTCAAGCTCATACGTACATTTATATAACACATGTCGATACAGTGGTATGTCTCGCGAATGTATTGCACAGTTAATAATTTCACAGCAATTTAAGGCTTGCCAGAAACTTTCTACCAGAAGACTACTTGACTCATCTCACCCACTGTACCCTCACCTGATTCTATGTATCTTTACATCTAGCACTCGTTCCAAGTATAAGCATACAGCAGCACGCACCACAACGTACAAGTCTTTTG